ATTCTATGATTCTATGATCTGTGATGAAGTGTGTGACTCACCTGTAAATTTTCTGATGCATTACATTGATAGAGTGCAAGAACTGAAAAATAACCTTCCTTGAGCTGTCATAGTTCACGGTCAAGAAATGTTTTTCTAGGAATTTGGCTCACAAAGCAGTTTTCCATAGATTGCATTAAGTTTTTTAATAAAATATATTTATTTTCCCTTGTATAGAATGAACATGCATGGCTGTTTAATTCTTTTTAGAGAAATAAATTTTTACACACTTCAAAATTAAAACATGGCTACTCTTTCAAAATCAAACCCATAATCATGATACATATTATATAACAAATTTCCTTTGGCTGAGTGTTTATCCTGCTAGGAAAATTTTAAATGCATAGAAGGAGATGCACAGACGATATGACTCTCTACGGGTTTAAATTGAAAGTGGGGAGGTTTAGATTGGATATCAGGAAGAAGTTCTTCCCAGAGAGGGTGGTGAGGCACTGGCACAGGTTGCCCAGAGAAGCTGTGGATGCCCCATCCCTGGCTGTCTTCAAGGCCAGGCTGGATGAGGCTTTGAGCAACCTGGTCTAGTGGAAGGTGTCCTTGGCCATGGCAGGGAGGTTGGAACTAGATGATCTTTAAGGTTCCTTCCAACCCAAACCATTCTATGGTAGAATCAACAAGTAGTAAATTATATGTTTTCTGTTCTAATTTATGTTTGAAATACGCAAACTTAAAGAATACTGGAACGGCTCTCAGAAATAAACATTAATGGAACCGGACATAGAGAGCAGAAGCCTACTGTGCGTAGAATGATGTGAATTGTAAGGAGACTGAAACACCAGAGAAGCTCTGGACCTTGGTATGAGGTTTTCCTAGGGATGTGAGAACTGCTGGATTTCCCACTATGTGCTAGTAGGTTACTCCTGTGTTCTGCTCAAGGAAAGATGCACAGGGAGTGTTGGATATAAACAGATGCTTATAGACAGCAACAAATCCAGAATTATTTTTTTGAGAGGGGAAAAAAATGCATTCTGTCATCTGCTTCTGTTTTATTTTCCTTTTTCATTTGACCCCCAAAACTGGAGGTGTCATGGGCCTTTCAATCAGTTTTTCAACCTACGATGGGACTTTCTGTTGACGTCAGCTGAAGGTCAGTCAGATCCAGAGTCAACTCTCCTGCCAACTCCTTTAGTTGCTGCTTTGGACTGAGATTTCATCCTTGTTACTTTCTCAAGTACTAAAAAGATTCTGCACTGAGTAGTAGCTGACTTAATTTTGTGTTGCTTCAGAAGGTGTATTGCAACAGTGGGAAAAGCTAGAGCTCTATTGGAAAGACTAGAAATGATATTTTGCTAAACCAACTCTTCTGTGTAATTTGATGGATTAGTAGTATTCAGTCTGCCTTTCCATGTTACTTTAAAAAGTCTGGTTTTCAGTAAATAGGCAAAGAAATTTTATAAAATCCTGCATATTTTAAAGTTTGTTGTAAACTTTAAATCAATCTGTATATTATTCTGAAAAATGAACCATGTGCTTATGTTTTTTTAATCTAGAAATGTTTAACAATTAAAAAGTATTTGTTTTGTTAAATTACAGTTCAAATTGATTGTGGAAAATCCAGAAAAACCTGTTGCACCTGGACTTCAAGTTACAGCTTTTGTGGAATATTATTCTGAGAGTGAAGATCTTGGAGATAGACTACTTCTTTTAATAGAAGATGACATAGTTGATATCCCCCTGCTTGGGTATGATGATCAAATGTTCATATTTACTATTTACTGTTTACTATTTGCAGTTTTGTGGGAAGTTTACTGATCCATGTCACACAGAGCTATGTAAATAATCTGTGAGTTGCACTGAAAACAAATCGTAAGTTTCCTTACAAAAGTAGGATTATTTTTTTTTTTCCTCAGAGCAGCCAACAGGTAAAAGTTAACTGGGGTGATATCCTTCTAAATTCACAGTATGAAAAAAACAAAAAAACCCCAAAAACCCCCTACCAAAACCCCAAAATTTCTTTAAGTTGGTTGTGATAACACTGATAATGTCTAATTCTGTACCAAAATTAGACATGCTAACATTTACCCTTAATGTCTTCCCTCCTTCCTGAACCACTCATGTAAGAGATTTTATAGTAATTGTCCATATTTGCAAAATGGGATTATGGTGAAACGCATGTTGCATAATTCTAAAAAGATGGTGTGTGTTTTAGAAGAAGGTCACACGTTCAAGGGTCGTTTTCATCAATCCACATGTGATGGTGTGTGCCTATCTATGTGTGTGCGTGGATATGTCGTGTATTGTATATAACATATATATTGGTTGGAAAAAGTAAGCTTCTAAATATGGTTTATCCCACTTAGGGTGGGTTGTTATCCAAGGATGAGGAGGGAATTGCTCTGGAGTACCTTTCTCTCCTCTGCCTATAAAGAGAAATGAGAATGACAAACTTGTGTTTACAGGTCCAGCTTTTAGATGCTGACAGATGAATCCCATAAACTATTGCAAACTGTTTTTTAATGAAAATCTTAACATTTCAAATTACATGTACAGACAGAAAGGACTTTCTATGGAGATTATTCAGTATATGAGTTGTTTTTAAAAATCAAACAATTCCAGAAACATATCATGCTAGCCTGAAATGTGTGAGGTTTTGCCTTCAGAGAAGCAATACTAGGTTTCATTTACTTGTTAAATCATGATCTTTTTACTAATTTGCTTTTCTTCATTTCATCTTAGAAGTTGTGTGTGTTTATTTTATTTAATTTTAATGTACTATTGCTAACGTTGGACACAAATCATTGTCTGCCATAAGGTTTTCAAGTTGTAAATTTTGTCTCTTTTTACCAAAAGATTGTCTACCATTGAAAGACTTGGAATTAACAATTTCAATTAGCTGGGTTTTTTTCCGTGGTGTATATAACACACAAAGAAACAATGCTATTATAGCTTTATTTCTTAACTTTGGAGAAACTGAAATAGAAAGCCCTAAATGTTTTTTTTTTTTTTCACTGAAAAACATGTGACTTCTTTAAGGTATTAGAGCATTTAATAGTAAAATTATCAGATTAAGTTATTAAAAGTAAAGAAGAAAAAAGTGATTAGGGAGCACTTTTAAATATTTTTAATTTTTAAATTTTCTATTTTTATTTTATGTTTATTTTTAAAAAAATGTTAATTTTTTGAAAATTGTTATTCGGGTAGTATTTTGGAGGTAAGACCACTTATGATGATAATGCTACCAGTAACACCTTTCTCGAAAGGAGTTGCAGTCAATTGCTAATTATTTAAAATCTTCATGTTTAACTGCCTTTTGCATGGGAAAAAAAATACAGGCTATTTTTTTTTGAAAAAAACAAATATACTTTATGATTATTTCTTAATAAGTCTTTTCCCAAATATAATTTGTGTCATACATGTTGTCTGTTTATAGGTAAATGGTACTCAATTATTGTACTGGAGGGTCATAGAAAACATAATATATTTTTTATACAAACATAGTTTAAAATGCTTCATTAACTGTTTGGAGAAAATAGTGTATGTAGTGTAACACTGATCAAAAAATGTTAGTCAAAAGATGATTTAAAAAAAAACCCAGAAATTGCATTGTCACTCTGAAATGTTCACAAGTGTTTAATTGGATGGAAGAACCAGGAAATATTTTCAAGGAAATATTTACAACGTTCTGTTTTGGGAGACAGACACCCTCCTCCCCCAAATTTATGTAGTTCTGCTGTGTTTTTTTCACTCCCTATTTAAAAGTTTGTGTGTTTTTAAACTTTTTTTGATAACGTTATATTGTGCTACTGATTTATCAAGACTAATATAGTAAGCACTAATGCTACTTTTCCTATAATGTCAGGAATTGAAATAACTGGTTTTAAAAATTAAGGCTCTACTTAGTTTTTATGGCAAATTGGATCTATTTTTGTGACAAACAAAATTGCTTATCTGGGACAATTTCTGATATTTTTTGGCTGTAACTCAGATACAGTGTTTTCATTGTCTCTGGTGAGACAATTTGTACTGACCTCTTTAAATGTCTGCTACTTCTCTCTTGTCTATGGGCTTATTTGTAGTCTTCCTGCTTTATAATGATATTGTTGTTCAGCTTTTATTTCTGTTTGGTATTATTGGATGATATGTAAATATATATAATTCACTATGAATTTACAGAAATTATGTGTCTACATGTTTTGTTCATAGAGTTTTATTGAAAGAAAAGCTTACTGGTGGCTTAGGAAAAAAAAAACCAAACAAACCATGAAAAGATTTAACCCTTTTGCCAACAATTTTTGTGGTTCCTTCCATCATATCTACTTTTCTTTTTAAGATGAGATTCACTGAGAGTGTAGGAAAAGTTAAGTTTCCCATACATCATTAAACTGCAGTAACCCTTCACTTATATTTATAACCATTTATTTGGTAAAAAACGCCACCAGAAGAATTTTATTTCTATTGTGCTTTAGTGACATTAGTATCACAGTTCTTTATTATGCAAGTAAAATAGCTTTATGTATTTGCCTGATTCATGAGACTAGATCCAGCGATTAATCATATTGATTTGTGGCTCTTGTATTTGGTATAGGTTTTGGAGACCAAACAACATTCTCAGCTTAATCTCTAGAGCACCATGGATTTATGCTGTGCTCTAGTGAAACAAGTGTAATGATTTAAGCATGTAAATATTTGAACACCATAGAAAATACGTATACTCCAGGTTTGGGAATGTGTTTCAAAGAAGCCACTTGCAGTGTGGTTTGTTTTTTTTTTTTCCAAGTGATTTAACTGAAACTGTGCATCCAAACTCTTTGTGTGTTTAAAATCTAATAATCGAGAATTATTATTTTTTAATATTAAGCAAACATTTGAAATTAGGCATTTTCAGGGGTAAATTATATCTTCATAAAAAAAACCCCAACCAAAACCAAACCAGCAAAGGGAATGAATCACAACCTGTATTACAAAACTAACCCCCGGACCTTGAAGGTGACTATCTCCCTTTTTGCACTGCAGTTAGAAGGTACGCTTATTCCTGTCTACTTAGGAAGTTATATATTTGGATCTTGAGAGAACAGATACTTGTGTTTCTTTTTCCTGACAAAGCTTCTTGGAAGAATAATTTCTGATTACTTGGAACATGTGAAGTTTTACAGTCTTCTCAAGTGTACTCTAAAAAAAAAAAAAAAACCAAGCCACAAAAACCCCAGGAAACAGCTGTCAAGATTAGTCTATTTTGATTGTTTTGTTTGTTTTCTTTTTTTGCCATGGTCTAGATGGTCTAGACCATCTCTTTCAAGAATTTACTCATTTATTTTTTTGCACTACAATGAATTATTAAAGAGAATTAAAACAGTGTATTAACATTCCTAAGAACCATTTTTTTGGTTGCATTTCCTGAATTATTTTTTTTTCCCTCCTCTCTCCCTTCCTTCCCCTTCTTCCCTCCCTTATTCAGTAGATTATATGTGCAGGTTCTACCTAGCTCTGCCTTCTCCATTTAGTGGACGCTGTACTGCGTATAACCCAGATCATGAGATACAATTGTTCCTGCATGTTCCTGTTTGTGGTTAAGAGGAGTTAGACGGCTGTGCTGATGTAAAATTCCAATTGATTTTTAACACTTCTATGTGAGATCAGAGGTGTGATTAGAAATTTGGGACTTTAAAATGCAGATTTCCTGAAACGAGTATGATCTTTACAGTACCTACTATGGTGATGTCATCATGCTGGCTGAGGCTCTTAAATAAAAGAAATAACTTGTGTTATTATCCACTTGAAGCCACATAAAGTATCTATAAAACAAGAAGACTGAAGATTGAAACTGGTGTGCAAGTTTTTCTCTCCTTTTGGTTTGGGCAGCTGATAATGAAATATGGTGAATGTTAACTTTGGTCTTATTTTATGATGCAACTAACTCAAGATAATTTTATTTAAAGAATTAAATAATAATGTATATGTTCAATTTCAACTAATGGTTTAAAGCTATATTGTTTTAAAGTTACAGTAGTTGGTCATTACAGTGGACAGCTTGATAGCTAGATCTTTTTACATCTTCCCTGTGTTTGATATACTGCTGAAGTGAGTTGCACAAACATTGGTAGGAGAACTCTCTTCCACTGGAGTTCTTAATCAAATTTCTTTAAAAATGTAATGGTATTTTCAAGTTTTGGGAAAATGTAACCATGTCTTTTCTCTGCAGATTAATTTCTTGCTGTCATCTGGAAATAGAGTCAGAGATTAATTTTGGTGCAGTGATTGCAAACAGTAAAATAATCAGTAAAGAGATTAGTATTGCTAACCATGGATCATCTTCAGGTAAATATTTAGTAGGCATTAAATTATACAAATATTTTATTTTCTTGGAAAATGTCATTTTCTGCAAGTTAACACTTCGGTGACCAAGTAGTAATTAACGTAAGTTCTGGGTTATGCAGATGATGAGTATTGTCACTAAAGGTGCTATGATCAGCCCATTGCTTCTGTAGGCAGCATTATGTTTCCTCTTAGGGGAAAAAAATTAATTTAAAATTTACCCACAGTTTAGGACTTCTCTACTTTTGAGTCCCATCTGAAAGGTGTAGAAACAACAGTTGCTCATTAGTTTACTATGCCCTACATAAATAGTAGCATATCACATCCATTTTTCTTTGTTGTCTTTGTGATTCTGTGATCCCAACAGCTGTCTATTAAATAAACTACTACAAGCTCCTGGTACTTTCAGAGTTGAAGTCCTCTAGCAAGGGAACTGAACACTATTTCTTACCAGAAGATAATGAGAGGTCTTTTAGCTGGCTGACATAGCTTTTGAAATCATACAGCTTTCAAAACATGCACATCCTTCAACATCTGTGAGGGACCCTTCTGAGGAGAGTAAGAAACATGGAGGATGGAGCGCAAGAATGCTTATATGGTGCAAGTAACCTTTTTGAATGCCTTTTCCACTGGATGAGGCTGCAGACACTTTTATCCAGAAGTGGGGTGGCAGCTGTACTGAGTTTCAAACAACAAATTTAGGGCAGTTAATTTTTTTTGTTCTTCACTTGTACAGCTTTTTATTATATCACGATACCTTTATTTGCATTAGGCCAAGGTTGTGTGAACACTTGCTTCATAGATTTCCACAAGAAATATTGTACCACCAGAAAATACATGATTGTAGAAACACAGAGATGGGTTGCAATATTAAAAAAAAAAAAAAGTGTCAAATGGCTGTCTAGTTAGAACAGAATTAAATTCTATTCTTAAATCGTTTTCCAAAAAGCAAAGGAACCATTTTTTTTCTAGCTAGCTCAAGTTAAAGATGTTGTACGTATTTTATATAATCAGCTCTTACTCATACGTACAAACTTCTTTCTTTGAGGACTGATGATTAGATAAAGAAAAGGAGATAATCTACATTACATACACATCTACAACTAATGCATATGATGTGAACTTTCTCATGTAGTATAGGCATGTTTCTGTTTGTAAACTGTTGTATGATGCATGTAGGCTGCATCGAGGAGACCTCATTGCAGCTTTCCAGTATCTGAAGGGGGCCTACAAGGGTGCTGGGAGAGGACTTTTTACAAGAGCCTGTAGTGATAGGACAAGGGGGAATGGGTATAAATTGAAATCAGGGAGGTTTAGATTAGATGTCAGGAAGAAATTCTTCACAGAGAGGGTAGTGAGGCACTGGAACAGGTTGCCCAGAGATGTTGTGGATGCCCCATCCCTGGATGTCTTCAAGGCCAGACTGGATGGGGCTTTGGGCAACCTGTTCTAGTGCAAGGTGTCCCTGCCCGTGGCAGGGGGGTTGGAACTAGATGATCTTTAAGGTCCCTTCCAACCCTAACCATTCTATGATTCTATGATTCTATGGACACAGGCAAAATTAGAATGGAAGCGGTGGTTAGTGAAGGACATACTGAAGGCAGGCAAAGAGCTGCTGAATCTGTGTTTTCGTAGGCTCTGTAAGTCGTAATACCTCAGGTTGTACTAACAGGCAGCACGTAAACTGCATCAGCAGAAAGTGCTGTATGCTGGCCTGTGTCTCAAGGATTGCATTTTGCATGTCATCCCATGCACAAAACGAGTCCTTTGTTCCTGCTTCTGGTCTCATGTCAGAAAGTTTCTATTGTCTGAGGTCAAACAGTGCATTTTTCCTACACCATTTGAAACAGTTTCTTGCTATCTACAATATAATGACACATAATTAGTGTTCCTGGTTAAATACACATTTAATTTTTTCCTATTAAAAAAAAAATATTCTTAGAATCTAGAAATATTCACTGTTCTCTTCTGCAATAAATTGTGTTGTGTACATACTAAATCATAAGAGCTGTTGTTACCTGCAACATGCACTGAATGTTCTTGCTGTGTATAAAATATCCTTTAACTTACAAAATGTTACGTACAGTTGCTTTATGGTACAGTCATTTTTGTTTGGAGTGTGAGTACTTTTTCTGTTATAATCACAACTTGTAAAGTAGAATTGGACGTGTGGCTGTAACTAATAAAACCCTGTAAATAATGATCTACTCTGTGTTAGAAATAGTTTTGAAAAAGATTAACTCCATGTTTTCTGTTCCCATAGGAAAATGTACTGCTTGTGAATATCTGAATTATGTGTTTCATAATTCCAGATGTGTAATAAAGAATATAAATCTACTACTTTGTTTTGTAACATTATTCTGTTTCTTTTAGGCACATTTAAAATATCATATGAGGGAGTTGTCCTGCTTAACATAGAACCTACCAGTGGAGTGGTGGGGCCAAAATCTACAAAGACGGTTAAAGTGGATATCTGCACAGATGAACCCAAAATCATCAAAGAAGTGATAAAGTGAGTGTATGACAGAAGAAATCCAGCTCTATAAATTACAGTTTTGTCTGTTATTAATTCTACTCTTCATTATGAATGTTTGTCTAAAAAGTTAAGCTCCTGGGTACCAGTTGCGGTCTCCCACATACATTTTCATTAAATACATTTGATGATTATGTTGTCTCCACAGACCAGTGTGTACCAGTCTGGTATTAAATCTCTCTCAAGTCTTAATGATATGTTTATACACCTCTAGGTATAAAATTAACCAAGAGCCTTTGTATCTCTTACCTTTCTGCGTATCCTGTGTTCCATACTTTTTTTAGCTTCTGTAACTTCTCTGTTTTTCTTTTGCCTCTATTTGTTTCAAGAGTTTCACAAACATTATGATGTCCTTTGTTTATTATTTTAAGTGCATGGAAGGTATTTGTGACCAGTAACTCTTTTAAGAACAGACTATTTTTAAATGCATGTCTTTTCAATACTATTTTCTTACAATAATGAATAGGCTGTGGGTGATTTTTTTTGGGGTGTGTGTGTTTCCTGCTTTGTTTTTAAGCTACTAAGAAATATGAGTTCATTTTCTTCCTGTTCTTGCTTTTTGTGGCCTGTTGGAAAAGGAAATGAAAGGAGAAAGATTCTGTTAGAGTGACAAGGAAGGCAATATCTCTATTCTGCCTCACAGTTACATCCTCCTTCATATGAGATTTTCTTTGGTTACTGAGTTTCAATCTTTTGGTTGTAAAGTGTCATGCTTTCTGCCTTTCCTTTACTGTCCAGGCTACCAACACCGTTTTCGACATCCTATCTTGGTTAAATGTCTAGTGGACAGTTTAGTGGACATACTGGAAAAAAAAAAAAAATCACTACAGAGCTTAGATTTCATCCTTCACCCTTTCCCTGCCTTAAATTCTACATAATTCTGTCAGTGAATTTGGTGTTTCTTAGTAGTTACTCTTATATCCTTTAGACTAAAAGAAATCGCTTCCTTGTCAAGCCTGCACAAATACATAAATATATGTGTGTACTTGTGTGTATATATGTATTTAAACAAAAAGGGTAATATTGAAAGTCTTACAGCGGATATTTGAAGTTTGACTTGGAGAAATAGTACAGTTTTGATGAAAACACCCTGGTTACTTCCATTTGCCTTGTTCTCTAAGCATTTTGCTTCTGTGCACAAGCAAAACTTTTTCAGAGGAATCTACTTTTCCATTTACTTGAGACTTCAGTTCTGTCTTGGAGAATCCCATAATCACGCTTCAGAAGCTGAAAGACGACGGTATTTAGATTTTGACGTCCTCTCCTAGATCCCTTGTGTAGTTATATATGTCACTATTGAAAACAAAGGTTTTTTGTTTTGTTTTTGCTCAGAGGCTATTCAAAAGGATAGTTGATTCTATTAGAACAGTAAGTTGTATTACTAAATCTGATTCTTTTGTGCAACAAGAACAAATATGCTTGGTTCCAGTAGAATTCTAATAATAATAATACCGAAGACTTGTACAATGTTTACATAGTCCTTTGGTGCTTTGTGGGATCATGAAGATCAAGCATTCAGGCAGGAACAGCAGCAGTTCCCTTATGCTTATTCAGATGTATTTCTAGCTCAAATTACCTAAGAGATAAAAACTAAGTATATGCCAGAATTGGTATCTAGATACACAGATTCTCAGAAATAAGAGCAGCATATTATCTGTGGACACCTCTGATTCTTTTGAGGTGTCATTCCTATTGTTTCAAAAAAAGGGGAAAAACTCAGAGTTCTCCAAAATTCCACCGTGTAATGTGTGATTCTTCCTGACTGGTAATATTCCTGCTAGGTATCACATTGTCAAGTACACTCCCCACACTTCTACTGCGACTTAGTTTATCTGTTGAAATCCAGTGATTTAAATACTCGGATTTGGTTCAGTTTTGCATAGGTTCTAGCCTAAACAAAATGAATTATTTTTAACACTTTCTTACATTAGCTATTGCTGCTTGCTCCTCTTCCTGACAGAGTGGAGTTGGAAGGGCACGGCTGTGCTGAAGTACAGATCAAAGCTGTTGTGGTTGAACAAGTTCTTAAAGTTCTAGGAGTGTCTTGTGGAAATACATTGAAATGCATTAACTTTGGACCAGTTTACTTTGGATCTTCAAAGACTGAACAAATATCTTTATACAATGAAAGCCCTGAGTGTATGGACTGGGTAGCTGTACTGGAAGACAATGCCATTGGAGGAGAGATGGTAAGAAACTGTAGTGTTTATTTTAGTTGAAAACTTGTTTTTATTTCTGCTTTTTGCATTCTTGTTTCTCAACATTCAACTTCTAGTAGTGTTTACTGACATACTATTTCCTGATCGATAGGTTTTCTGAAACTTCTGTTCAACCAACAGATTTTTTTATAGAATTGTAGAAATGTTTTGGTTGGAAAAGACCTATAAGATCAACAGTCCAACCATCAACCTAACACTGCCAAGTCCACCACTAAACCATGTCCCTGAGTACTACATCAACTCGTCTCTTAAATACCTCCAGGGATGGTGACTTCACCACTTCCCAGGGCAACCTGTTCCAATGCTTGACACACCTTTCGGTGAAGAAATGTTTCCTAATATCCAATCCGAGATACAAAATCTGAAATTTAATCTTGGAATTAAGTTTTGTCAGATGTTTCTGTTGCACTGTGTGACATCTTAAACTTAATGATGTAAAATACATTCCCTGTATGTGTTTTGTTTTGTTGGGTTTTTTTTGAATAGTTCTGCTTGACCTACTGGATTTCTTATAATTCAGTAGGAGTTATCAAAATATATTTTAGTATTCTGGGATGTTAAGCATCTGTGGTTACACTTGTTTTTCTCAGACAGTGAAATCATCCAAGTGAACATCAAATTTAAAAAAGGGAATTCAAAATACTGACAAGAAATTGATGTTTAAGATTTGATTAATTAGCTGTGTGATACGTAACTACATCAGTGCATTATGCATCTTACATTATGTCTTTCTATTTGTTGTGAAAGATATGAAAATGCATGTGTAAGGAAAAAAAAAACCACCCACCAAACACAAAAGTGGAAGCAGGCTGAACTATTCCATGTTTTGATTATTTTTTAGGGGACAGATCTTCAGAGGAGTGCAGATGCTGTTTTACAAGACCTAAGTCTCAAAAATAGAACAAGAGATGTAGACGTTTCCACCTTGATCTTGTGCATTCCCAATCAAGGAACCTTGTTACCTAATGAGAAATCGTTGGTTACGTTGTGCTTTAGTCCAAAGTGAGTGAGTGGTCCAAATTAGACACACAGAAGTTGATTGGCTTAAACTATTCTGTAAAGAGCTACGTTAGAAAAAATCGTTTTATGCGAATGTGTCTGCAAATTTTTTTCCTGAATGACTTCTTATGTACTTATGTGTGTTAAAGGAATTGCTTGGGAAGATTCTACAAATGAGAAAGCAAAGTTTGAAATTATTATCTGGGAGGTGTTTTATAATACATTAAGGATGTATTTGAACCAAGAATTGATTAAGCTTTTTTACAAGAACAAGAATTTTATTATTGTTTGCCAAGGGAACTAATTGCTGCTCCCCTTAAATATGTTTTATCTCTGAAGGATGTTGAGAGTTCTACAGTGTCAGATTCAGTGCGTTTTAATGATCACAGAATTATTTCATAAAAATATACTGTATGTGCACCATTATGAAAGAATATATATAATTTCATCACTAAGTGACTGAAACACTTTGGAGAGCTTTTATTCCATTAAAAAAAAAAAAAGGCATAAGGAACACTTCATTTTCCTTATCCGAAAAAGAAAAGAAAATGTGCTCTTGACATTTTCCCTTACTCTTAAGGTCTAAGTGATTATTATGCATTTAATGTTCATTTAGAAAACTGTTGGATACTGGAAAAGATACCAAATGACTAGTGTGATAAGCGTAGGGATATTATTCAGCTTAGATTTGTTACTGTTCCATTTTCTGAAAGGAAGTATAATGATCATTTGTTCAAGCTGTACAACATCAAAGAAGCCAGACTGGATGATGAAAAATGAGCCTTGAATTTTTTTTTTCTGTGGGTTGGGGTTTGGTGGTTGGTTTCCCCCCCTCCCCCACCCCCCCATCTTGTAAGAGTCACAATCTCTAATTACAGAAAACTTAAAAGGGACTTTGGAGTCGCTGACTCATCACAGAGACAAGATTACGTACTGTTTCTGAGGTTTGAAACTGTTGGGAAGAACGATGGCTGTCTGCAGGCTCTCAGTGATGGTGCCACAGCAATCAAAAGTATGTTATCCAAAATGTGTAGTCACCATTAGAAATGTATATATGCATGATAAAACAGTGTATCTTGATTTATTTTTTTTTGATGTCTTCATCTTCCTATCAGTTTTATGGGAAACCTGTGTGTTTTATTTATATCAATACAAATAAATCAATGTAACATCTTTAATGCTTTAGCACCAAAACCTCTTCGAACAGTGAGTAGAGAGAATCATGTGTCATGAATACACCTGGTGGTAGAGAACACTTAAAACTTAATTATGAATGTAAATATTTGGAGGAGAGAAAAACCCCACCCATTTGCAAGTCACCAGCACTTTGATAATACCAGTTTTAAGCATTTTCAAGTCAATATTTGATCACTTTCAACTTCCATAATGAGGGAATATGTTATCTAACAGTCATTATAAGTAAGCACATCTGTGTTAAGTTTATAGAAAAATTGCATTATATATCACATGTAGTACGGTGTTATTTTGTCTTTGTAACCACACAACTACAGTATGACTTTTCTGTTTTTAAGGGAACAGGTGTGTGAGGTTGGTTTGGCTTTGTTTGTGTTTGTCTAATGCAGTGAATCATCCTCATCAGACGGAGTTGGCTTTGACAGGTTCTGGGCTTCCTGTCATGTTAACTTTCAATCCAGGACCAGTTATTAAGTTTATGGACTGTTTCTTGGGTGAACAAACACAAGTTCTATGCACACTGAAAAATGAATCTGACTCCCTTCCAGTAACATTCAGCTTCCGCAAGACTGCTCACTTTAATATTTCTCCTGAAAAAGGAAAAATAAAAAGAAATTCTGCAAAGGTAATTACCTCTTTCTCTTAGATCATGTAGATATGCAGATTATTTTATAATGATCAGTGGTGGACTTTCAAGAAAGTAAACCAGAACAATTTCATTCCAGTAGCCGTGATGTTTAATATCAGCCAAATATAAAATTTGTTTCTCCTTTATATATAATCTTTTAATGCTTTCCCTGTACTTCAGGAAGCAAAAAGTGTTATTTAAATTCAGACAAAATAATCGTAGTACTGAAGGAACTGTACCCAGTTTTTTTTATATTTTACTGACTTGAGAAGATGGGTTTATAGTCAGACCTTTGCAGGATCCTTTTAATTTCTTTCAGTAAATCACAAATACTCAAGTAGCATAACATATCTTTTAATGGAAGAAACTTTATCAAATTTAACTCAAACCTGAAGATATTTATAATTTCATAAACCTGTAACTCGGGGCACAAGAGAGAACAATTTGTCTCAGAAATGGGCAAATGAGACTTTGTGGTGCTCTATTGTGTAGCAGTTTTATGTTTCCTTATATTGCGAATCTATGTGTGGCAGTTGGGATATTCTGAAAGCCCAGGTATGAACACCTATAGCGAAGTAAGTGTGGCAAGAACTGACTCAATTAGAGAATCACACAAAACTTTTTTCTTTGCTTTTCTGCCTCCTATGTCTCATAATGACTTTTCTTTTCCAGGATGTGATATTTTCATTTTCTCCACATCAAATAGGAATATTTAAAGTGAAGCAAGTTGTTGACATCATTGGCACAAGACTAGAGAAAAATATTTTATTGGTTTCGAAGACAAGATCCTTTCACCAGATATATTTGAGCTTTATCAGTGTGTGCAAATCTAAACGAAAAAACATTCTATTCAAAATTAATCCTGGTAAGATGCTAAAAAGATAAGTGATAAAATATTTTAAAAGTACGTTTCTAACATTTTATATAAAAATTTTGTACTGTTTTTAGTTTGATTTTTAAAAAATAATCTCTCTTTGGGAGTTGAGAGAATGCTCAATTTTATGACATATACCAGTAAGAGTATAAAACAAAGGCTAAAGCAATAAATTCCCCCTCCCCCCCTATTTTAACATGAACTATTAAAGTATATATTTTCATCATACAATTATTGAACTTTAATAAATGAGACAATAAAGGCTTCAGTTTTTGTCAGCAATGCCATTCCACAGTGCTAATATGTTTCAGTTGTAAGTATAGAGATGTGTAAAGCACAGGAAGAAGTTAGGAAAGATAACAGGGTATTCTTTATGATTAATAGTTGCTACTGCTAGGTGAATTTGCCAGTTAATGCAGCCTGGTATCTGTCCCATGTCTTCTGACTCATCTTAGGAAGCGTATGCCAGCATGAAGATATTGCATATCTTTTGGGGTATGCAATAATTACTCTCTAATTTGTTCCTCATGTTCCTAACGTGTTCCACAAACAACCGCTTTACGTTTCACTAAGGCTGTCCCTGGATTTTAGAATCGGTCATGGAGAATGTGGCTCTTCATAGCATCAAGCATGCAGTGGCGTCTGCAGGTAGCACTAGTGCACGCAGGGCTGTCCTGTGCAGTGTGCATCTGGCTTCTGTGTTTAGGCAGGGAGGGGAGCTGATACACTGCTTAACGGACTGCTTTCCACTTGGAGGTGTAGTCACTAATGAAAAACAGGAAGGCATTGCCCATTTCTTAGAGCACATTGTGGGGAAGTAAAAAGAGGAAGACATTGGAAAGTCAGAATAAAGTGCTGCTCTTTCTACAAGTATCAGAGTGGTTGATAAGCAGGAAGTCCTGCTACTTTCAGGAAGGTATTTCAAGTCCATGGCAATCAAGAATTGGTGAGAAACTATGAAGCTTTGCAATTTCTGGGGTTTACTGTTAGAATCCAGTACTCCTGCAGTTCTTATTTTGTGTTTTTGAAACATTTGTTTCTGTGGATCAAAGACTCGATGTAATATTCAAATTCTGTCAGCTTTTCTAAATGGTCTTGTAAACCATGTGCTCTATTAATGTCCCCATTTTGCTCCTGTTTGCAGGTTGATAAAGGGGTTATGAGGGGTATCTGCACTCTGTAGGGTACCGCTACCTGTGTTTTGCTTTTAAGCTTCAATGAAGTGTGGAGGGAAAGTGAGCTTTTTTTAGATCCTTATAGAAATGGATTCTATATCTTCCTGTTCCATTCTCCCAGCCTCCATGGATGAGTATTTTTCTGTATGTGGTAGAGGGAGGAAGAGACTGGGATGAAGCTTCTTGCAAACTGTACCTCCTTGGGCAATGCAAACTGTAGTCACTCCTGTAGTTTGGAGGATGGAAAGTAGTTTGTGTTGTGACTTTTTTTCTCCCCCCCCCCAGCCCCCTCACACAGCCATTTTAGAGTAAAGTAAGGCTAAAACATGTTTAGTTTAATGTGTCAGTGTTTTTGCAGGTGAAGGAGAAAGGAGCAGTTGAGTAATGGATTTACTTATTTATTTGTAGTGTTGTTTTAAACGTATATTTATGTAAGAAGAGATGATCAAACGCATGGCCTTGTTTCTGTTGTAATTCCTCCCTAACTTTTATGTGTATGTGCTTTTCTAAAACTAGAGTGAGAAAGATCTGAGCTCTCTTTTCTGTTGTGATAATGTGGGAGTTCTTTGTCAAATGTCTTGCCTGTGTTTGCAGCCTTTGAGACAAGCTTTAGGACACTGGACAGGGGTGTGACAGAGAGGTGACTGATTGTTGGGATGCTGGGTAGACAGGGATAAATTAAGAAATATTTTTCTAACATTTTGAATTTTGTTTGGAAAGTATTAGTGTAAGTGTATGTAACATATTTTATTTGAATTTTAAGGTATAACACCAATGATTTCCAATGCAACTGGACAGTTTGTAGCTGATGGCACAGGACACTGCACTGATACAGCGCCTGTGGCGATACTTAAATCAACCCAAACACAAATTCATACTCACCGGATAAACAGAAACTGTCAGGGTGATGCACTTACAGCTTTTCCTAATGACCGTGCAGCCAGCATTAGGCCCAGTGAACGGAATAAAAAGTACAGGTAAAATCATGTGAATATAATATTTAAAATGATACATTTGTATATACTGTGCAGTATTTCAAGATGAGTTACTCAGATGACCGTTTACTGGTTTCTTTCGGGCTGAAAGTTCTTTAACATTCATTGCATTCTACTTAACCTTGAGCCTCTTGCACATAAATTTCTTGAGTTGCTTTTCTTATGTGAAACTACACATGTAGCTATTACAGTTTCAGTATTTCATTTTTATTATTTGCAAGGGCAAATATTAATAAGCTGTGATAAAAGGACTGTTTGCAATGAAATATATATGTAGCAAAATGGATGTATTTTTGTTCTAACAAGAACCAGGATCATCTTATACCCATAGTGAAACTACAATTCTCTTCAAATATTTAGGACTATTTTCACAAAGACTGAGAGATATAGTTATATAGATCCAGAATTTTCTTATACTGACTCTGAACGACTGTCGAAAGAAGCACATAAAGAATACTACGCAGACTTCATTTCTAGTTTAAGACAGCATCGTTTACAGAAAGATGCGGCTAGGTAAGACTTTGTTTTAAAGGATAAATAAATACTTTAGGCTCATATGAAAAAGATGTGTATATACGTGTAGAATCAACTTAGTGGCACCCATCATATACCTAAATTCGTAACATGCTGAAATGCTTATGGTCCTGGGACCTTCAGGTACAATGCATTCAAAACCCATTGTGTTGAAATGTTCATTTAGACTCTTAGAGATCACCTCTGGGGTAAAATGTAGGGACAGTGTCATGGAACTTGAAATTAAAATAAGATGCCAGGTTTTAACATTCTGGGGTAAAATATAGGGACAGAGTCATGGAACTTGAAATTAAACTTAAAATAAGATGCCAGGTTTTAACAAGAGTTAGCTATGGTTAATAGGAAAAATGTAACATCGATTGTGTTGGATTCTCCTTTCATTTTATATAATAAATTGTATATATTTCCGACTAATATGTCTAGCCCACCCAAAGTGATGGATTCAGTATGTAAATTATGATATAATTTGTGGAATGAAGCAGATAAGATTACAGGATTGTATTGGTCTTCTAGCCTTATAGTAAATACTCATTCATGAATTTGTGTACTTATGCAGTGGAGCAAAATAATGGAAAAGCAGAACTAGAACTGGCAGCTATGCTACTTTTTAAAAAGTTTTATTGAAAAAAAAAAAAAAGCTTGTAGAGCCTCTAAAGCAAGCGAAGTAATACCATAAGAGTCTTAAATTTGCAAGACCCATTATTAAAAAATTAATAATGCCAGTGGATTATTCTTGTAATCTCAATTTACCTCTCTTTGTGTATGTACGTGATGATAGAGATGAGGCCTTTCAGGGCTGGGTTTATTTTATTTTTATGCATGCACATGATGTATGGCTTTCTTGCAAAGAATTGGTGTTGTGTGGTGGGTGAACTGTTGTTGATATGACCATAACACACATATTCAAGTTATATTGCATGAGGAGCAAGAACAGAAAGGAAAATTTCAGTTATCAGATGAATTTCATTTATTACTATGTTTGATAGTAACATTTTCTGAATGCTTGGTACAAAACATCTGTGTAAGATTGCTAGAAGTTTCAAGTCATCTGGTTGCAGGTGAAATTTGATTGACTCTAGTTGAACTTTGACCAAGAATTCTAATTGCTCTGAATATTAGCCTGTAAGTGTCCAGTTCAGACTTATATAGTTAAAAGATACATTGTAATCTTGGCATTTGCTAACTTTTGCATGCTTTAATTTACAACTTTAATGGTTCTTTAGGAGGTATGTTAGACACGATGTAATATTTATATTTTTGTAACCATAATGCTTCCAACCTATTTAGATGAGCAATTCCCACAAATGTGAAACAGATGTTAGTCCTTGCCGAAACAATACAATCGTAGAATTATAGAATGGTTTGGGTTGGAAAGGACCTTAAAGATCATCTAGTTCTCCAATAAGAGACTTTCCAAGGCATTTTCTCTACTTGAGGTTTGTTTTTATAATGAAATATTCCTGCTTAAAATACTGTTTGTTATATTTAAAAGTCTTACATAGTTTAATGTGTAGAACATGGAATGCTCAGACTTCTGTATTTCCATATTCTTTTTTTTTTCTGCTCCCCTATAGGCAGTTTTATAATTATAATAATTCTGTGAGCATAGGCCTTAAACCAGCTGAAGGGCTAATTTCACCAAAGATCTCAATCACAGATTTTCAAAAGGAGAAGCTACAGCTCAAAATGCTTCCTTTAGATGAGAATTGCCTGTTAACTAGTCAAAAACTGGCAGCAGTTGGTTCTGAATCTTCAGTCAAAGAAGTAAGTTAACCACTTGAGTAATATGCAACTGTAACCTGTTTACCATATAAAAAACCATGAGAATTTTGATCCTGCTCTGAGAAGATGTTTTGTGCTTATCACAGGTTTGGAGTGGGTTTAGTGCTATGCCATCTTCCACCCAGGAAGAGGAAGATTGTAGTCTAACTTTGACATCCAAGCAGCTTCACCAAATACTCATTGGTAAGAGTTTTAATTTGGTTACTAAATACATATAGTTATGGATTTTGTTACTATAAATAAATATTTTTATGTTCATAATTGTTCACCTTAAATAGAAAAAAGCTTAATGTGGTCACAGCTTGCTGTTTACAGTAGTGTTTAACTAAAACGTTTTGCTCAGTAAATACTGAGATATGTAAAAGGAACATGTAGAAGAGTGTCTCATTTAAAGACTGCTTAAACTACAGCCTATTATAGAGAAATCAGTACAGCATAGTATGAGGGTTGCTCATACCCTTATGCCTTGTTATTGGATAGTATCTGGACCAGCATTAATGTCAGCAAGGTTCATGGGGGTGTTCACAATGTTTCTAGGAATTAACCAAACAGCGATAGCCTAAAAAAGTAAGAATTCTTCAGGATCCTCTTTCACAACAATTTCAGTGGAATGCTCTGTGATGGGGAGTAACACCTAGTTTGTGAGGGACTCACCTGTTAACAACATGTGGTACTAAAACTGGTCTATTTTAAGGTCAATTTTCCATCAGCAAAATTATTTAGCAGTAAGAAAGTTTGTAAGTACTTTCTGGTTTTCTTTTTTTAATTTTCAATGAAACCAGAACTTTAAGGGTGTAGCTGTCTATACTGAGAAGTAGAATAAGATAGACATATTAATGCAAAAAGTACTTTGAGTTTTGTAAGATGTTTGATTAGTGCCGTGAGCTCTAAAGTTGGCAAACCAGTGTAAAAACTGATGATAGCAGTAAATAATGTAGTGAGATAATTTCATCACCATTAAATAACATGCATTAATAAACCAAATGGGTCACACAATAGGGAGCAAATAAACAAGTTAAGCATATATATGCTCTCTGAATTGCAGGTTGCCTAGCCATTTAAATATCTGATTAATAAAAAGAAGCATTTATGATTATTAATAATGCCTTTAAGTAGCACATTGCCCTTCCTATTTTAATAGCTGGCTAACGTAGGCAGAATTAAGAAATAAATGTTGGTGCTGGCTTTTGAGTTGTACTACTGAAAACATTCACAGAACAGGCATGTTATGTACTTCAAAATTTTGGTGTGAAATTTTTTGTTGCTACAGGATTGTTCTAGCTGACATTCTGTAATTTGAGGAACTAAAATGTTACGATCATAAATGTTCTAGTAGTTATGCTTCCTTGCACTAGCTTTCACTTTTTAATGTTAAAGATCTTCTTTCTTATGTATTCCAGGTCCTTCCACTATGGATTTTGGTGAAGTTTGTGTGTATTCTACAACAGCCAGAAAACTGCACATCATCAATAACTTGTTAACTCATATATGGATACAAATTGAGATCGAAATTGATGAATTACAGCAGACAAGTCCATTGTCTCAGGTATTGCCTCCTCTTACAAAGACTCATATTCCAATTGTATTCGAGGCAAACGCTCTTGGAATGTTTAAAAGGTAAGGCTTCGTATGTTTGTCTTCATTTATGTATTTGTTTTGCAGTAATAGAATGATAATAATAAAAAATATTTGGCTGGTTTAAACTGAGTACTGAGTGTAGTTATGATAATTGTTAAAGGTGTACACTCATTTGTGGTGATATTACAATAATTAATGCATTTTTAGTATAGTAATGTTTCTTAGGATTTAAATATCTCCCTGATCCCCCCCCCTCCCTGCACATGTCCTGTCAAAAGCCCATATACTCACAGGTATATTGGGGGAAAAAAGCTTGTTATTCCAGTGTATTTGTTAGGAGAAATTTTATGGAAAATACTGTGTGCTTTCTAGCCTCATGTTGCATCACTGCATGTATGCTCGGGTCTTTTGATGCACCTCACAGGTAAATGTTTAGGCAAACTGTTTTCTATCCTTCTGGTTTGGAGACAGAACTCTCACTTCACTAATGCTGTTAAAATGACTGTGAGGTTGATGATCCTTGGGGATGATCTTCAGTTTTGATAATTTAAGTTGTATGCAAAACAACTACAAATTTCTTTCTCTTGTCAGTCTTAACTGTGTGTTCAAACTCAATTGTTTTTTTAATCACTAGCAAGAAAATACTTATATTTCACATAAATTTTACTCTGACTACAACTCTAAATACATAAAAATAATTGAGAAATACTTTTTTTTTTTTAAATGTTTCAGATCTTTCACTTACACAATAAACAACCAGCATCTTGGGCATGTGCTGGTAGTTGCAAAAGCGGTGCCTGTTGAACTTGAGCTGTCTGCAAGGGAACTGATTTTAAATCCTATTCCTGGCTACCTAGCAGAGACAGAATTTAGAACAACAGTCAGCATATACAATCCCAGAAACCATCCTGCTGAGTTTACTTGGAAACCTATAAATACAGATAGACCAACGGCATTTTCTATACAGCCAGCCAAAGGTATACTATGCAAATACAGTGCGTGTGTGCTTAAATTTCAGTAATGTTCAGTAAGACAAACATTCAGCTGATGCATTAAACTGTGTTTTTCAGATTTGTGTCAATATCAGTGTATCCCAAAAGTAGTATCAGATCAGAGTGTTAATTCCGTTAGCAGCATTGCCTCTATAAACCCCACACTGCGTGCACACTCAGACTAGCTCATTGTTTGTGTCCAGCCAGCAGCACTCACGTGACCGTTTTTCTCACTACAGATTTTCAGAATATCTCAAAATTATTTCAAAAGTGAGGCAGCTATTTAATGGCAGTCAGTAACATCATGCAGCTCATTCAGATAGAAAATTTTCCAAAAGCACAACATGAATGAAGTTGCTGAGAAGTTGAAAAAGACAGTCTGGGTGACACAGGTGTAATTCAGTCTGGGATTCGTTTCCACTCACATGATGGATCAATATTTGTTAGAAGTGTGCGAGACATTAGCTTTTACCTTCTTTCCTTTGAAAGATAGTGTTCTACAGGAGTATGTTGGAGCTCTGTTGTTAAAGAGCTAACTGAATTGGCATTGCACGAGTTCTGGCTGGATCAAGAGCTTCGTGTGCTCTGATTCTTGAGAAAGGATATTTCTGCTGATATGAGTTCAAGTCTCAGTTGCAAGCAAGAAAATGTATACGGTCTTTCTCAAAATTGTTATTCTACAAGAAGGATAGTCTGGTCTCTTTTTTCTAATGTGACTATGAATAATTTATGTTTAGCAAAAAAATACCAGTGAACTTTGAGTGTGTTTTTCTGCAGGATGTGATTAAACAGATTATGCAGTTGTCATGAGAATTCAGAGAGTAATTTCGCTCAATTCAACATTCTGTTCAACACCTTTCAAATGTAGGCTTAGCCTTCAGTAATAGAAGGTCATTTCAGTTTATTGTTCTGATGTTATTTCTATTTATACAATGTAATTTGATAATAGTACGTGTGTATGCTATCATGTGTAAACTTTGCACATTTATTTAGGCGTTGTGGAGGCCCATAGAGATCTGGAGTGCGAAGTTGTTTGGCATCCAGGGTTCAACTCTCCAGAAGCAGGAGAATTCAACTTATGTGTGCGTAAAGGAAACACGATTAAGTTGAAATGTTTTGCAAAGGTAACCATTCATACAGCATATCTAAGAAGAAAAATGTGTGCTTTTATAACAAGTAATTTCTTAAATATTATCTTGCATTCAAAAAATGTTTTAATTTCATATAGCTTCTATTTGGCATGTTTAACAGAAGACTATGATGGAGAATGCAAGACAACAATAATTTGCCTTTTTTCTTGCTTTCGATTATATACTTCCTGTAGCACCACAACTTGGTGGTCCTTATACCTTAAGTGGTCATTGTTCTTCGTGGCTTACTTAGTTTAGCTAAACAATAGTTGAGAGGTGTTATGATAGGTCTTTAGTATTTTAAAGGGATAAAAATCAAGGTGTATGTGGGAAAGTATGTTTCAGAGCTTCAAGGTAACAACGGGCTGTAACATAATTTTGTATTTTTATTTGAACATGGTATTTGATAAGTTGAAAAGCAGTGTTCTGGGTAGTCTTCTAAACAGTGAAATTCAGCTTAGGTTAATCATTTGTTATCTTATGTTATCTGCCAGGGAGTGTGAAGGAGTCAGACTTACTCTTTTTGTTTAAACTGTATTTTACTGGCTACATGTTCTAGAACTTCCCTTTTGGGAGCAAAGAAAACATTTCCCTTCCTTTTGATGAGCCTGCTTTTTCTTTTACTTTTTTTTCTCCCTAGTAGCTTGTTTCTTTTCTTCCTTTCTCTTGAAGCCTTGGAAATTGCCATATGTAACCCAGGATGCGTGTAAATTAGAATATAAGTATTTCTACTGCTGTAAAATCTCTCATGTATTTTGTCCTGATCACACATTTAGGATAAAAAAGAAATCATGGAGGTTGTGCTGTTGAAATAAATTTAATTAAAAAAAATTTTTTTTTTTTTTTTGTCTTGAAATCAGCTCAGAGCTATCTCTGTGGTTGTGTCTGTTCACTTTGAATCTAGATGAGTTCTAGATATGTTGAGAAAATCTTGTCTTGAATTAAAACAGTGTTTGTCTATTTGCAAACTTCTAATTTATTTGTTTTCAGAAGTATGTTTGCTCATTATATAATGAAAAGAAAAATAGGCAGTGTTATTTATTTGTACTTAGTAGTATGTTACTCAGTTTGCTTGCTTCCTTTTTTTATAGCTCGGTACTACTAAAGTTCAGTTTGTGGAACGAAGGATATCCTTCAGACATAGTCCAATGGGTTTATCTACTTGTAAGACAGCCACTCTTCACAACGTAGGATACAACCATGCGTACTTCCAAGTAAGCTAAAATTATTTGTAGCACGTTAAACTCCCTTCTTCCTCCCCACCCCAAAAAGTTAATTTTATCAGATCATGTTAATTTTTTGTTCTCAGTTATTAGATATGCACCTACTCTAAATTTTTGTCTGTTTTTCCGAAGAAGCAAGGTTAATGTTGACCAGTAATTCTGTCCTTCTGTTAAATTTGCATTGATGGATGGGCAGACCAACAGACAAGGAAAGTGGTAATGATCTAAAAGATTCTGGAAGCTTCATGAGAATCAGTGTCGATGGTAGAACCCCGTACTGGTGTACCCTATGGAAAAGCAGTTATAACTTGCATGTTTTTTGTACTTTGAGAGATGGAGCAAACTGGCTAGTCATCCCGTTCTTACTGGCTATCCAGTCAGTACATGCACAGACCCAGACTAGTTACAGCACAGGTGGTTACTTTGCTAGACTAACATCTGAGAGGAAGATCACTGGTATTATGAACTGGGTAAGAGATGAGGTGGATGCCAGCGTGGGTAAAGACCTAATACACAAATTAGTAGGTAACCTAACCTCATTAGTTCTCCTGATCACAGAATAATTTTCTGTATTTTAGTGCAGCCAAATAATTTTCATTAAAAACCTTAGAAATTGTAGTTATTATTAAATACATTATTGTGGTATGAAGAAGAAACGAGCTATTTTTATTTTTACCATATTTCTCTGTTTCTCAACTGAGCATTTTAATAACAATTATTATTACTACATTCTTGGAGGATGGGCCTGAAAGAATAAAATCAGCATCATCAAGAAGACAAACAAACGTTACATAGCCAGCCTTTTAAGCCTACACAATTACCCTTAAGCCAAGAGATGCTGCTTGGTCTTGGTCATTATCACTTGTGTAGCTGTACTTTAAGAAGTAATCTGTTTGGAGTGCATTAAAAGAGAACAAATTCTATTTTGTCTAATTGTGGGTAAACTGAATATTTAGTCCTAATTTTATTACTGAAATTTGCAGTATTATGGTGCTGTGAATGGCAAAAGAGAAGTGATGATTTTGTCTGTCACTGAAATAATGCTTTGTAGAATATTCTGTGTTTTAATAACTTCACAAAAACAACCCAAAAACCAGAATGTGAAATTTGCAACTGGTGTGCAAAAATTATTTCACAGTAGAAGCTGACAGCCATCATGTTTAGGAATCTGTTAATTTATTTTTTTTACCTGTATTTTGGTCCCAAAGTTCTGAGTCCAAATTATCATTATATGTTATGAAGGTTCTCCTTGTAAGAATATAACATTTTCATTATAAATATGTTGGCATTTAAAAAACTCAACAAACAAACAAAAAACCCCTTCACCTCTTCAATATTATTAATGTTTTGTGTTTGTGTTTGAAGGTTATTAATTCAAACCCACTGCCTGGAATGGTGATCACCCCTTCGGAAGGGGTGGTGCCCGTGGGAGGACATGCTGATCTCAAAATTTGCTTCACTCCAAATGCAAAAACGAGTTTTGATACGAGAGTGGAGGTATTAAAAACTGGAAGAACTTTGTCTTTTGAGTGTTATGTTGCATGTTTATGGGTGGAGATGTATGTACATTGAAGTTTCTTTTGGATTTTATATCCATTGTTGTAGTGCTTTTAAAGGGGGGCAGGGGAGTGGGGAGAAAAAGGGTTTTCTTACAGCAGTTGATGGCTGCTATAACCCGTTCTGTTAGTTTGGTCTCAGTCCTGCTCTGACGTATCAAAACGGCCTCTCAGTTTGAGCTGATTCACACTGTATGATTGGCAAACTGTTGAAACTAACATGTGATGGTCTTCGGAAGATCACACAGACGTATCTGGAGTTTTTATGATCTAGTAGTAGCAAGACTAGAACACTGCAGTGTCTTTTAATTTCTTGAACTTCTTTGTTTATCTCAGAGATGGATTTATTAGTAAATTTGATTTTATAATAGGAGTGCAATAAACCTCTAGTCTCAGGGTTGTTTTTTTTTTTTGCATGACAACTTCCTGAACTTCTCCTTGGTCTGATAAGTGAAAATGGGAAAAAGGATGCTATCATGGGGCTGATCTTTGCTACCTCTTCTGACTAATCCTGGATTCATCATCTTCTGTGGCTGCCTACATTATGCTTGTGAAACCTAGTATCTGTTTTCTTTTTTCCACTTCTAAAACGGGTTTGGCATTGCTCAGGATGATAGTATCTACTTTGTGCCTGAACCTCTGTCAAACAATTTATGTTGAGGTATAATTCCCAGTCCTCACAGCTGCTGAGTAGACCTAATCCATCCACTCAGCTTTCTCCTATTGGAGAAAACTCTTCATTGTAGTGATACAGCAGCCTATGACATCACTTTTGTCTGTAAAAGGCTGGTCTTTCCTAAAACTTTGTTGGTTGTTGGTGGTTGTTGGGTTTTTTTTTTTTTAAATATGGTTGTTTTTTCTTTGAAGCCACATCTCACTGGAATCTGTACATATGTATATTCTAGAAAACGAAGACAGCTCTTTATTTCCAAGATTAAAATGTATTATATTATAAAGGCAGGGTTATTTTTTTTTATTTTCCTTACAAATTATGGTGAATGTCTCTCTCCACTCTATATTTGTGGGGTAGGTTTTTTGTGTGTGGGGTTTTTTTTGTACATTTTTTTTTTCATGTAATTATGCCAGATTCGGTGAGATTAACTTATGTTAAAATGACCTTGTCAAAAATCATCATGTCATCCATTCACTTAGGTAGCAGTGCGAAATTCAGGAGTACTGGTGCTTACGATTGGTGGATTTGTAGAGATCCCTGAAATATACATTGATGTGGTAAGTATGAAGAATTTGTAGCAATTGGTAAGATTGATAGTGTTTTGCTTTATCCACATGTCAAAAGTGGCTTATCCCTAATTCATATTTTGCATTTTTTCCTATACTGACTTTCTAAGAAAATTTTTGAAGGGAAGAACTTAGGAAGGTAAATTTAAAACTAAAGGTACATATAACAGTTGCACTAAATGATGGCTGACAGCTTTAGCCTTTGAAATTGGCAATCTGGAAAAGTATGTTACAAGGGAGAGGATTTTTTTAAGGTAGTTATAGGGCGGGGGGGTGGAAAATGCAGTCAGGGAAAAAGGAACCCACTCATTTGTTTACTGAATGCTGAAACCGTTCCTGATGATGTAACTGGACTTAGAGATTGAATTCTAAATGTTAAGTTCTATGTTTTGGAAAGATTTTTAAATATAAGAGTTATACAAGACAATTGAGTAAGCAAGATTGCTACTGTGTTATAAATTGTGAATCTTTGAACAATTATATTTTTCACATTCTGATCAATTATAAACTAGACTTCACAGTGTTTTGACCCAATTATTTTCCTTAAACTTACAGGAACTATTTGACTTTGGTGGTGTTTATGTTGGTGCCACAAAATCAATTCCCTTTTTGCTGCACAACAAAGGACAAGCGTGTACCAGAGTGGAGTTTGATTTTTCTAAATATAAGGACTTTGTATTGAATGTTAATGACCATTCAGGTATCTGCTTTTGCTATGTCAGTTTTGTCATTATATAAAGAATGGATAATGCTAAGAGAAAGTTTTTCAGACTATTTCAGGTATACAAATATTCTGTTTTAAGAGAACGTGAAGCAATTATTTTAAAACTGCTGCTTAATACGGATTCAGAGGAGACATTTTGGTTTGCCTGTAAAATAGCATTTGCCAAAAATAACCATTTGGAAAATGTCAGGTTGCCTTGTGTGTGGGGTGGTTTTTTTTTTTTTTTAATTGCCTATAGTTGCTAAAGTATGTTTAAACAAACAAACAAAAAAACTCCAGCTTGAATACCTTCTCACCAGTTAAAAAAAACAAACAAAACAAAACAAACCCAACAATTAAAAAAACCTAACCAAATAACTATACTCGTTTTCCTATTCATGGACTTTTACCCACTATTTTTACAGTGTTTACTCTTTAGTTATATACTTACCATTGTAAGAGTCCAGACTTCTTATTTCGCTAATGGTCCAGGGTGACTGCAAGTTCTGATCACAGAATCTCCATCCTGCACGATGCCCAGCTCAGAATGACATTGGCGCAATATGTGGAATTAGGTTGCTATTCTTTGTTTCTTGATTGAATTACTGCAGATTCTTATCTTTCACTCATTGGTCTTCATCCCTGTTCTACTTCAGTCCTGCTATTCCAACCTCTGTTCATAAGAGGATTTTAGAGCTATGCTTATACAGCCTCTTGTCCCTGCAAGCTCAGGAAATCAGGACTCTTTCTTTCTTTTGCAAGGCATTATTACAACATTTGTATTTTTGTCATCATCCACATATAGCTCTACATAATAATGATCTGACAAGAACAAAGGGGTTTTTGTACCATGTGGTAGACTTCAAAGGGTAGGTGAAGGCTCCTAGTCAGTCATCTTAACTTGGAAGAGAACTGTAAGACTGTCTACAACAGGCAAATAGCCAGCATGGGAACTGACTCATTGCACGTGATTTCGGGATCAGAGTTTGTGCTTGAAACAAGTAATGTGACATCCAGTCAGGTCCAGTACCTTTCAAATGGTGAATCCTGGATGAATACTGATCCTGGTGTTCAGGATGAATACTGATCTTTGAGGAGTGTTACCTTGGTTATCGGAATCCTGTGCTTCTGCCAGTGCCTTAAAATGGAATGTGAAAGTCTGAAAAATGAAGCAAGCCTTACTGGTAAACTTTTGTAGTGTAGATTATGCTTAGGAGTCATTTAGAAAAACAGTTTCAGCAAACTATTTTTCTCCCTGTGGTATTAGTTTTCATTATTTAGTTAACTATTTTTGCCTAATGCTTTTATTCAAAGGTACGTGAATGTGTGTGTGTTGTGTTTTTTTTTTTTTTTAACTGAAATACTGTGTTCTTCTGAATCAATAACTTTCATTAAAGTTGCTGGTGATAAACATTAATTTGTAACTTTGTGAGAAATGTTTACTATACAAATATGTAGGTACCTTATGTTGGATGTCGCTCTGAAGTACTGCAGCTATTACAAAGTTGGTATTTGGTGTAATAATATCTGTAATTTGATTCTGAATTTTTCTTGACAGTGGTTGACTGCTGTTCTTCAAAGCCTTATTTGTATGCGGTTAACTTAAAGGGAAAGTCAGCTTTGCAGTGCTTGTTGTCTTTCATGCCAAAAGAGGTAAGTTTATGGGACAGTGATGACTGTGCTAAATTGAAACCACGCTCTGTGATATTTCTGTGGTGAAAGAATATAGACATTTTAGATGCACATTTTACTGTGTGCAATAGTTTTATAATAGTAATCCAGTTCTTAAGAAAGCAAGTTCTGAAATAACCTTTATCCAATTTTTGCTAATTTCCCTAAATGTTCACATACCTAAAGAAAATACGTTTTCTCAGTGACTTAAAATTGGAAAAGGCATAAACCCAAATTGAAGTGTCTTACCACCATTTCACGATTTAAATTGTCCAACAAACTGGCAGCGATTTTCTTCTTGCAGCAATTCGTGCTTTAACTCCCAGATGACTGAGGGACTGCAAAAGTAGAGGGGCTTTATGTGTTATAACGATTGGCAAAGTTGCTGTCTGATTGAGCTATTTGAAGGAAATAAATTGAAGATATGAGACTTTATGGGTTAGTTTTACATCAGGAAAATAGCATTTTATTGGCAGCAGGTGTCAATAGAGAGTGCTAGAGCAATTTCTAAATCTAAACCTATTGAACAACACTTCAGAAATGGAGGATTTGGGGTTTCCCCATATTTGGAGAACAATGAACTGAAAGAAAACTTAGTCTTTGATGTTATGAACCTGTTTCAGAATAGGCAGCTGGGCTGACTTCTACAGCATATAAACCTGTTGCAGTAGCCCTAAAAATAAATGAATAGCAGAGACAGTGTATCTTGGAAGGGTCAATAATATTCTTTCTTCACTTTTCCACCCTCTCATCTTCTCAGCACTTCAGTTTTTGAATGAGAGGAATTTCTATTGTTCAAAGCATCATTCAGATAATACAGGCTGTGTCTGGTAACACTGATTTTCTTCCTCTTATTACTGTCAGCTTAGATTCTGTGTGCAAGTAGAAGCTATTGTGAAATAAATGATTGTGAATTTACAGCACATGCACTACTCTGAGATGATTTTTCCTGACAGAATATGAGTCAACAGATTAATAAAAATGGACTATTTCAAACCAAATTAATTTCCTCCAATAGCATAACAGGCCTTGAGATTAGGGTCGAAGCAGTAGATGCCGTATCTTTAGGTATCTCTGCACTGTCTGGTGCAACATCTCATAAGCAAGGTACTCAGATTTAGACCAGATACAGTGTTAGGGTACTATGTAATTGTTTGCAAAATAGTACATACGGAATATCACCAGCAATTTATTGTCAAGCTGCAGAGAAACTCTGTAAGGAAAAACACTGACTTTTTCATTTAGGTAGCAAGGGTCAACAATAGAAGTGCAAGACCAGATAATGCTGTCGGAATCATCTATGTATATGGTATTGCAGATCAGAAGCTGAACAAGAATTAAGAGTAGAGGCTGACACCATACTTCCCCATCCCTGGAAGTGTTCAAGGCCAGGCTGGATGAGGCTTTGAGCAACCTGGTCTAGTGGAAGGTGTCCTTGCCCATGGCAGGGGGATTGAAACTGGATGGTCTTTAAGGTCCCTTCCAACCCACACCATTCTATGATTCTATTTATATAAATAGGGTTAATGTTAGTAAAGCAAGTAAAATAATTATTCTATTCAGTGCTGATAACACTTCAGCTGGAACACTTTTCCTAGCTGGGATGCCACGTTTCAAGGAAGAAGTGGGAAAATATCCTTTGGAAAGAAATTCCAAAAGAAAGAAATTAAAATGATCAGAAGTCCAGAAGGAACTAACTTCCAATTTTCTGTGGAATATAATTATATATGCTTGTTCACTGCAGTACATAGGTAATGAGTAGTGGGTTTAAATTATGCCAGGTGGGTTAGATTAGATATAAGAAGTCATTGTAGCAAAAAGAGTTAAATATCAGAATAATTGCCTGAGAATGTATCTCCATTATTGAAGGCCCTTAAGAAGGGGTTGGACAAACATCAGCAGAAACGCTTCATTCTGATGCATGGGGACAAATCATCTATCAGACATTTATGCACCGTAAAATCATACACCAACAGCATGTTATTGCTCCACAGCTGAAGTTCTAAGGCCAGCTTTAAGGCTCTTAGTAATTATAAAAGTACTTCTTAATGGCTATCTCTTGCTAAGTGTGAAATTCAAACCACTTAAACAATAACTAATACAAAGGAATATAGATTTTTGGCTTAAAATTATGGAATTGGATTGTGGAAAGGCTAGCTTCCCTTATAAATGAAGAGAAGTATATAAGATAGTGTTGAGCCTGTTTGCTTTTGTGAATGAAATATGCATCTCAGTGGACTTGACTGGCAAAATAAAAATCAAAACTAATTAAGTTTCAAAGCCTAGCTGTAAGAACAGCAATAATAGACACCTACTCATTAAAAGTTCAATCAATCTTTTCCCCATTTTTGTTTTACAACAATCTGTTGTAACAGCATTCTCTTAAAGAACATTTTTCAGCTTAAAACCATAAGTATTCAGTAGCATTTAAATTTTTTTTTGTTATAATTGAAAGATTGTCAATAGAAACAAAATGCTGCTTCGTAACTGCCAGTTAGCTTCTAGTAACCCATAGATGTAACACTAAACATAGAAAGTAAATGGTTGCTAGAGTTGTAATGCTCTCCTGTAAGAACTTTCTAAATCTCCCAAGTTTCCATTCTTTCCTGCTTTAATTTTTTTATCATCTGGTTACTTTGGAATAGAATATACCTACTTTTGAGGGGTTTGCTCTGTTTGTGGATTAGATGGGAACAAGGCGATGATGGTACAGCTAAGACTTTATCTTAGCTAAGCTAGTGGTTAAGTTTTTTTTTTTCGTTCAGCATCTGTACAGAAAGTTCAGTTAGGAGTTCTGTAAAAATAGAATGCCACAAACATACCGATTTAAAAAAGATGAATAGGGTCTAGAAATAGTAAAATAGTCTAGCAATATTGTTGAATCAAGAGTGTGTACTATGTGTGAGATTTAACAGGTAACAATAATTTAACTTCCAAGGCCTCAATTTCAATGTCTTTTCATAAAACAATTTTATTTAAGTCTTGTCAAATATTTAACAGAGGTATTTCTAATTAAGAAGTTTTCATTTTTTCCCTTTAATCTTCGTAGCTAAATGCACACAATTGCATATAAAAGCTAAACCACATAGATATAGATGGGATCCCTAACCTCAAACTGGCAGCTCTCTTCTTGCTTATGGCATTGGGTTTCTCTGGTGATAGTGCATTATTCTTCACTGTGGTAGAAAAGAGTGCAGTGGAAGGTCAGTTGTCCCCTTTCAGGCTAGTGAAATACTAACTCTAAAATCCTAAATGCTACTCCACCCCTATCAAAACAAGGGTTTTATTTTCCTCCCAGTACTCTCTTTCCCATTGTTACAACTGAGCTCTATTACTATTTTCTTCCCTTGTCAAGTTGCAGGATGGATTAAGAGTAGAAATGTTACTACTGACACTGTTGTAAATTCCAGTGATTAAATTAATATTTTTGAAGACTGCTGAAATAGTAGATGGTTCTTTATGTTTAATTTCACTTGTCATCTGAACAAGTACTACTGTTCAGACATTCAGCATTACCGTTCGTTATTGATAAGCATCTCCAACTGTCAGTTGATAGTGGTGGGATGGTAACTTCACTGAAGACAAGGCTATACTAGTGTGCAGTCTGCTTTGGTTATGATATAAATTTTGAAAAACCCTTATATTTGGCTCGGTCTGTTTTGTAACTGCTCTCTTAAAAAAAAAAATTCTGTAGAACATATTGGATTTATGGATTACAGATTTCTGTATAGGGATTTCCGATGCCATCCTTTTCTGATTTTTCAAACTCTGTGTCTAAGTGTTTATAGTTTAGAGAAAAAATTTTGGCAAGCAGAACAGCTTCTTTTAGAAGTGAGGAGATAAACAACTTGAAAAAGGAAATTTTCCTGGGGCACATGATGCCTCATAACCAACTAGTAAGTGCAGCTTTAATGAAATGTCTTTATTTCAGTTTCCCCTTCTCTCCACGTGCTCACGGTCTTTCTGCCTCCCTTTGCCCTTGATGCTGGGCAAGCTCACTGTACGGCCAGTGCTTCCCTTCTACTCCAAGTGTATTAGTGCCTCTCTGTTGGGGGCAGCTTACTTATGGCTGGACAAGAGGTTCTCAAATACAACCGACAACCTGCTTGTGGTCTAGTTAACATTGCTGAGGGTTAGTGCAGCACTAGGAGCTGGCAGCAGTAGCACTGGCTAATGTTAAATGAGGATAACATGGAAAACTAAATGTGGTACCCAGTATGGCATGACTAAAGGAAGCATCTGGAAGTATAAACACCCCCCAGGATGCTGTAGCTTTTCTTTAATTAAACTCCTGCAAAGTAGAATGCTAATAAAAAGCATAGTTCTGTTTAAGGAAGTGGTCCAAGTACCCACATCTCTCACTGTGATCGGAAACTCTCAGTAGGTACTTCTTCTTATAACATACCCCATTGGAACTGGATGACTTCTCTGTCACTCTACTTCACCTGGATTTCCCACTTTTCTCACCAGATTTCTTACTTCTCTTTCCTGACTTTCTAGTCTTGAAAAACTCTAATCCTCTCTGTATATTGAGCTTTTCCTATTCAGGTTTCACAGCTTTTTCCTGTCTCTGCACTCAAACTGTTTCTCTGATCTCAGCACCATTTTCTGGACAACTGTTCCTGGCCAGCTTACCTCCCAGCTGCTCAAACCTTCTGTGTCCCATCCAGTCACATTCTTTTCTGTCCGCCTGCTGGGTCTGCTAAAGCTTCCTGCAGTTGTAGTCGTTACTGACAACACTACGCTATAAACCAACGAAGCCCCACTACAATGATGTTATTGATAAGGAAGTAGATGCTGGAGGTAAGGAAAAATTAAAATAATTCAGGAGAATTGGTGAAAAAAAAAATCACAAAGGCATGGAATTATTTTAATATGCTTTAAAATTTTATTAAAATGACTTGAATTATCAGTGAAAGGTTTCCAGTAATTTAGTCTTGACTGCAATCATGAATTCTCTCGCCAAGGAAATCAACTTGGCA